CATGTGCTTCTGTACAGTGTATTGCATGTAGCACATCTCTTTGCTGTTTATCAATATAAGATCATTTTTAGTATATTTCACTAATGTGCCCTTCCACAAAGGCTTGCCCCTCCTGCCCTTTTGCCGTTCCGGCGTCCCTGGGTACTAAAGGTGGCTCAGAGAAACGTTACGCAGGAGACATTTGTCCCCTAAAACATAATTTACTCATCACTGCCCCTGCATAAACAGAAGAAATTTGTATTAGCACAAAAAATAATATAGTATACGACACTTCTAAAGTGCATAGAGAGAGATTTTTCTTAGCATTCTACTTGTTAGTTTAAACTTGTTTAGATTGGGGCAAGTAGACAGGGATGGCTTTATTCTTTAAAGTTATGCTTAATTTTCTCAATGAAGTACCATGTATTATACGAACAAATATCAAAACACATACTATACTCATCATTTATAAAGAAAGGCCAGCCTCCTGGGTTTTCTACAAATTTTCAACCACCTCGTTATGCAACACCTCTGATTCCTCTTTCTTTTCAATGATATCTTTGTGAATAGATATTCTACACAAAGAGCTAAGCCGACCTTGACCCATTCTATTTCTTAAATAGTTTTTACCCTTTTTAAGCAAGAAAACGACCTCTCTACTGAAGCACTTGCCACTGCCAACACACCATTCAATTTTAACAAATTTACCACTTGACCTAAACTCGACTGGAGATTAAATTTGAAGATGTATTTAAGAACCTCATTACTGCACTCTTTGTGAAAGTCCTTGTCGTTGTAAATGAAGGAAAGTTGACTCTCCAAAGTTTGGATGTCAAAAGAGGACTATACTTATCTTTGAGAAGATTGATCTTCTCCTGTGGAACTATGCCCTTCCATGTAGTAAATAGTTTAGGATTTACAAGGTCTAAAAAACAGAACTGATTAATATCTTGAAATCGTTCACTTAACATGCCTTTAATGGAATCAATAATCTCAAAATAAAGCTGTTTGTAATTGTATCTACTATCTGCTCTGGTTGCTGGTGGGCCTACTTTTTCTAGTGCAGTTTGGTAAAACTCGGTGAAAGCTTGATCTGTGCGAAGTGACACAATAAACTGCTTGAAATTGTCAATCTTGCTTATGCCATAGTTAAAATGGGTTTCCCTATTTTGAAGAATGGAATACAAAATTGTGGACTGTTCTAAAATCCTGTAAAAAACACACACTAGAAAACAAAAGAAAGCTATCAAGATAATGCAGTAAGCCACTTATTTTACTTAATGACTCATCATCCCACCCAGCTGGTTGTTCAAGTACCCCTCAAAAATATCTAAAAGTTTTTCATAGTTTTTGTGCAATACATTGATTAATCTAGAGCGATAATACCATCTTGTTTCACCAGGGCAGGAAACTCAAGGTTGTTAGATGTGAGAAAAGCTTTTCTTTTGGGGCATTGCTTGTAAATGTGCTGAATGTAGCTATATTAATAAAAAGATTTTAACAGGAGAAATTGATGAGGCTGACTGGCATAGGACCAGGTTCAATCTATGAGCTGCACAATGAACAAAATGAGCAAAAGGATACTCTTGTCGAACCAATGCTTGAACACCATTGATATGGCCAGACATGACAGAAGCACCATCATATGTTTGTAAAACCAGTTTTCTTTTATATTAGAATACTCACCAAGTTTATCTTTGACAACTTGTGATATTGCTGTGGCATTTCTGTTCATACTTACATCCACAAATCCTAATTGCCTCTCCATAATTTCACTTGCTTTGTCAAACCGAGCAATAACACTTAGCTGCTCTTTGGTGGAGACATCAGATGCTTCATCAACCTGAATACTCATAAATGTGCAATCATTTATTTCCTTTCTGATTTCATCTTCAATAATTGAATCAAGACAGCTGATAAGACCATTTTGAATTTCTGGGGAGACTCCAGTAAATCTTCTGTCACCAACTATATCAGATTCTGCTAGTCTACTGTGCAGTCGACGCTCAAATACAGAATCAAACTTAGCAAAACATTCGAGCAACTCTCTATAATTACCTTTGTTCAAGCTACCTTCGGACTCATTGTGACCTCTAAATGGCAACTCTTGCTTTGACAAATACAGCACGGCCTCAGTAACAGTTTTTAAAATTTCTCGATTTTGTCTTACCTCCTCATTGTGACGCTGAATCCCATTTCTTCTAGCGAGGGACATAAGACAATCAATTCGTTCACTAGCTCCATACGTTTTCCATGTCTTAAATGCAGTCAAATGCGATTTAGATTTTTCATGCTTCTTAGCATCAGACTTAATACTCCGCATATCGTTGTAGCCATTCTTAGTCCACGATGGCGATGTTTTTGGGGAAAACATTAGACATGGCCAACAAAACACTTTCTGCAAGGTTGTACTGCCACACAGCCAGTCCTTCGCCTCATACCAATCTCTCTGAAATGCTCTTCCCTTATTTTGGATAATTAAATCAGGAGTAGGCCGTTCATGAACGATAACATTCTGTTCGACCGACGATCGAGCAGAGAACGGTTTAGTATGGCAAGCCATTTCGGAAAAAAGGTGGTCGAGAAAAAAACCTCCGTTGAGAAAGCAAACCGATGTTGAGAAACACGTGTTTATCATTGAGAATTTGCAGATGGTAGTTCAGAAAAGCAAATATCCCGGTCGAGAAAAAAATCCCGGTCGAGAAAAAAATCCCGGTCGAGAAAAAAATGCCGGTCGAGAAAAAAATGCCGGTCGAGAAAAAAATCTCGGTCGAGAAAAAAAATCTCTGTCGAGAAAAAAATCTCGGTCGAGAAAAAAATCCCGGTCGAAAAAAAAAATATCGGTCGAGAAATAAAATGCCAGTCGTAACAACATAATTTATAGTTATACCATGGTTCATAGCACTGTTCTTTGCAACTTCAAGCAGCGCTCTGATATGCTACGAATGGCAATGGCGTAATGGCGGATGTTCAAGATATTATAGCGTTTTTTACTTCCCTACAGTCTTGTTTAGTTATTGCGTCGCGTGATAGTGAAGATGCCAACGCGAAAGAATATGTATGTAGAAAGTTAGAGGGACATTTTCACGTTGTTTTTGCTCTTCAATCAGTTATTGAATCCAAATTTGGCCACGAAGAGTTAAAGAGTTTATTTGAGAATTTAGTCAGAGAGTTACACATCCTTGTTAGTGAAGTGCAGTCGCAATGTCGTGAACAACTTCCATATAATAGGTTAACTTTGAGTCGACAGTTCACTGGTGGAAGGCCTAAATATGTTGTTTCTAAAGAGCAAATAGAAACATTACGAGAAACGGGTATGAATTGGAAATCAATCGCAGAAACGCTGGGTATAAACGAAAGGACACTGTACAACTACCGCCAAGAGCTAAACATATCGCAAACATTTTCTGAAATCACTGACGCCGAATTGAAATCAGTTATAGAAAGTATACTACAGCAAACTCCATATGCTGGCGAAACTTATATTCGAGGAGGCTTAGTTGCTCGTCAAATTTTTGTACAAAGGAACAGAGTGAGAGAATGCCTTCGTTTACTTGATCCTGTGGGAAGGGCTGTAAGAAAGCGTGTTACTATCCAAAGAAGAATGTACAATGTGCTTCAAATGAGTTATGGCACGTTGATACCAACCACAAACTTATACAGTGGAGGTTTGTACTTCACGGTTGTATAGATGGCTACAGTCGAGCTATCATTTATTTAAAATGTTCTACTAACAACTTAGCAACTACTGCTGTACAGTTCTTTATCGAAGGTAATGAAAAATTTGGTGTTCCTTCACGTGTTTGAGCAGACCGCGGAGTGGAAAACGTTGAGATTGCAAAGTTCATGATTACAACTCGAGGCACTGGAAGAGGAAGCTTTATTGCAGGTACCAGTGTTCACAACCAACGTATTGAACGGTTGTGGCGAGAAGTGAATAGAGTACTGGGAGCTTTATACAAGGACTTGTTTATTACAATGGAAAATAGTGGTTTACTGGATGTAGATAATGAAGCACATTTGTTGGCTCTTGAGATAGTGTTCTTGCCTAGAATAAATGCATCACCGAGAATTTGAAAGTCAGTGGAACTACCATGGACTTAGAACAATGGGTCATAAGTCACCAATGACACTGTGGTACTCTGGCAATATTCCCAACCAAGTGGATGAGCTTGTTACAGACTTTACATTTTATGGAGTGGACTTCGATGGAGATATTCCTGACATTGAAACAGATAACAACATTGTTGTCCCAGAGGGCAGAATTATTTTGTCACCTGAACAGTGGTCCATTGTCCACAATACTGTTCCAAATCCAGTGGCAAATGATGGTAATTATGGCATCAATTTCTATTGTGCAGCATTACAAACACTTACTGAAATTTTGTGATGGTGATAGAAAAAAGTTGATCAGAAACTTAGAAAACACAACATAAGAAAAAGAACAAGAAAAAACCAGCCTGTTTGATAAAGTTCATTTATATATAAGATACAACAATATTTTAAAATGTCTTCCTCTGTAACAATCCTGAATAAAATTCTGGTCTTTATAAAATAAATTTTAACATAACAAAATAGAACAAGTTTTAAGTTTATGGAGCAATAACATTTAATGTAATGCGCTTAATATTTTTAAACAATGTCAAAAGCCCAAGCATTTTTATTACTCAGCAAGTTTGAGAAGTCCTCTGAAAGTTCATTATAGCTTTGATATGTGCTGGGAATTTCAAGAGTAGGAGTGCATGTATGTGCAACAGGACGTCTGCCTAAACCTTCCAATTTATTGAAAGAAATGCTTATTTTGTCACAAACCAGTACATTACTTCCTGTTGTAAACTGCAAAAAAGTACCAATATTTCCTTCAATGGACCTTATAAATCTTTTCAGGTGATCTAAGCATGCCCTTTCTGCATCTGTATTAGGATGGGCATCAAGAAGCTTCACAACTTTCTTTGCATTAGGTTTTTTCTCATTATATAGCGAGACCAAATTTTCAAGTGACTGAAATGGCATGTATCTTTTTAGCAAGGATAAGATTGGGGTCCAGCAGTTTGCAATATAACAGGGCTTTTGGATGATCTCTTATGAGCTAACTGCGAAATAATATTTTCAATATTGTTTTCACTGGGAGTGGTAAAACATTGATAGCTACTTAAGAATTCCATAACATCATCATCAAGGGGGCTCATATTCCCACTAACTACTTCATTAACTATTTCTTGCTCACTGACTGACAAAAATGCCTTAAAAGATTCCAAAAGAAATGCTTTAGTAATGCAAGATTCACCAAACAAGCAAACAGATATAAAAGCAGGTGAGAGCTGGATAGGAGATACCTTTCTTGAGAAAACCATACACAAACACTCTTGCAATAGCTTTCCATTGCTCACTCTGATAATCATGCCGGATAGCTGGGATTTTTTCATTGGCACCGACTGTAGCAGATACAAAGAATTCCTGCCAAAACCCTGTAAGTATATCTCTAAATACTCCACGCCCTTCACCTTTCTCCATTTGCCCTCTCTCATGAATAACTTTAACTATAACTATTGAATTTAAAATTTCTTCATCACAAAATGCATCAATCATGTTATGCTTAAGATTTGATCGGTGTATCACAATGTTACTAGTTGGTAGATTTTCACTTTCCAAAAGGGTTGACAGATTTTCATTTTCCAGAAGCACTTCTGATGAAGTTTCAACAGCTTTAAAAGAAAAAGAATACCATTAAAAAAGAGTACTCCTGCTCTATGTTTTTCTCTGGCTTAAGCAATAATGCACCATTAAGGGCGGAATGCTTAATTTGAAAAAACATGTAGTAAAGGTCTATCTAAGGTCTAAAGACTGATTTACAAATAACAAAATGAATTCAAAAATAATTCATTAAACATGTGTGACAGCAAAATCTTCAGTAGTAGAACTTTATGATGTAAATATCACAAATAACAAAAGGCAAACAATCCAGCTTAAACCTTTGATTTCATTTTGATGCAAAATAATGTTTTAACAAACATACCAGAAATATTGGACATATCAACAGAATTTGGATCTTCTGGTTGAACTTCATTCTGAACATTTCCATTGTTGTGAGAACAGTCTGAAATAGTACCAACAGATGGCAAAGAGGTTTCATGGAGAGCAGGTGGATTATTAGTCACTTCCATTTCACTGTGTTCCTCAACTCCAGGATGTTGATATGAAGACATGCAAGGAGGTTCATTAGTAAACGCAGATCTTAGAAACTCATCATCACTTGAGTCATCCTATTACATATGAAAATAAAAAATTATCATGATTCTTCCTTTCCAACGAAAAAAATGTTGAAAAAAAGGACAAACAATAAAAAATGATGTTTAATGACTAATTCGTGAATTTATTTCTAGCAGAATGTATTTGAAAAAATGAAAAGGCAGACAAAACAAGCATACCTGCACAATACACAGGTCCTCTTGATCATTCAAATGTTCAGGTTTGTTGATTCTGTTGCTTAATGGTTCCAATATTTGTACTGATGGCCTGACATAAATTGGTTTATCTTTGAACACTTTGTGCACCATGAAGCCATTTAAGGTTTGGTTCGGTGCAAGACAGGGTGGATGCAATGTATTGTGGACCGACATTACGATTTCAATATCTATATTGTGATCTTTTAGTTTGTCACTACCGTGAAATTGGCACCACATTGGGCACAACATTCAACACAACATTCATCACAACATTCAACACCACATTCAACTAAAATTTATCATTCAAAATGATAAATCAAAAAATCGTCTTTAAAACACGTTTTCCATCAAATACAACAGTAAAAAATAATTCTTAACTGTTTAATACTATTTTACAGTCCTTAAACATCACAAAAAATGTATAAAAGTCAAGAAATTGAAGAAAACACTAAGATTTATATTACAGTGTACTTTCCATTTCTCTTAAATAGCCTATAATTTAAAAACTACACGGTAGAATTTTTTTAAACTTGGCCAGAATATAGATAATTATATTGTCTAAAATATATCCAAAATCTGGAGGTGGCACAAAAAAATAAATGATAGAAAATCATCGACAAAGTCGGATGACACGAATGCGCGTAATATAATCTTATATATTTAAGTTAAGAATTCCGGTTCTTTAACAAACAAAGCCTTATAAATAAAAACTACACGGTAGAAATTTTTAAACTTGGCCATATTGTAGATATTCTTATTGTCTATAATATATCCAAAATCTGGAGGTGGCACAAAAAATAAAAGAAATAATATTCCTTGAGAATGTACTCTGGTATAAACCGTGAAGTTGGCACCACATTCGACAAACAGCTCTATAGCTAAAAACTACACGGTAGAATTTTTAAACTTGGCCGTAATGTAGATATTCTTATTGTCTATAACATATCCAAAATCTGGAGGTGGCACAAAAAATAAATGATAGAAAATCATCGACAAAGTCGGATGACACGAATGCGCGTAATATAATCTTATATAATTAACTTCCTATATCCATGTAATTTTCAAACAAAGGCCTATAAATAAAAACTACACGGTAGAATTTTTTAAACTTGGCCAGAATATAGATAATTATATTGTCTAAAATATATCCAAAATCTGGAGGTGGCACAAAAATAAATGATAGAAAATCATCGACAAAGTCGGATGACACGAATGCGCGTAATATAATCTTATATAATTAACTTCCTATATCCATGTAATTTTTCAAACAAAGGCCTATAAATAAAAACTACACGGTAGAATTTTTTAAACTTGGCCAGAATATAGATAATTATATTGTCTAAAATATATCCAAAATCTGGAGGTGGCACAAAAATAAATGATAGAAAATCATCGACAAAGTCGGATGACACGAATGCGCGTAATATAATCTTATATATTTAAGTTAAGAATTCCGGTTCTTTAACAAACAAAGCCTTATAAATAAAAAACTACACGGTAGAAATTTTTTAAACTTGGCCATATTGTAGATATTCTTATTGTCTATAATATATCCAAAATCTGGAGGTGGCACAAAAAAATAAAAGAAATAATATTCCTTGAGAATGTACTCTGGTATAAACCGTGAAGTTGGCACCACATTCGACAAACAGCTCTATAGCTAAAAAACTACACGGTAGAAATTTTTTAAACTTGGCCAGAATATAGATAATTATATTGTCTAAAATATATCCAAAATCTGGAGGTGGCACAAAAAAATAAGTTGTAGAAAATCATCGACAAAGTCGGATGACACGAATGCATGTAATATGATCTTATATAATTACGTTTAGAATTCCGGTTCTTAAACAAACAAAGCCTTATAAACAAAAAACTACACGGTAGAATTTTTTTAAACTTGGCCGTAATGTAGATATTCTTATTGTCTATAACATATCCAAAATCTGGAGGTGGCACAAAAAAATAAATGATAGAAAATCATCGACAAAGTCGGATGACACGAATGCGCGTAATATAATCTTATATATTTAAGTTAAGAATTCCGGTTCTTTAACAAAGAAAGCCTTATAAATAAAACTACACGGTAGAATTTTTTTAAATTTGGCTGTATTATAGATATTTGTATTGCCTATAACATATCCAAAATCTGGAGGTGGCACAAAAAAATAAAAGAAATAATATTCGTTGAGAATGTACTCTGGTATTAACTGTGAAGTTGGCACCACATTCGACAAACAGCTCTATAGCTAAAAAACTACACGGTAGAATTTTTTTAAACTTGGCCAGAATATAGATAATTATATTGTCTATAACATATCGAAAATCTGTCTATAGCATTATCGAAAATCATCGTTGATGTATGGTTACAGATGTCCGTAATATGTAAGTAAGTAGCGGTTCCGGTTTTATTGGAAACAAAGGCGTCTAACTTGTAAATCAAACGACATGCGTATTTGGATGACAACAGTATTTAAAGTTTTTATTTATTTTTAAGTCATATACATTAATATATGTTAATAACTTTTTTTTGCCCCCCTCTTCTTCCCCGTTGCTTCCTTCTGTTGTTTTGTGGGCATCTCCATTTTTTGTGGCCAAGCTGCCCACAAATAAAGCATCTCACATCTGTAAAAAGTGTTCGCACTCATTTTACTTGTATAGTTCTAGCGTTACTTTCTATAAAAGATGAATTACCTTTTAAAAATGGAGGCTGAGTCGACGCCTGGTGCATGGGTCGATCCGTTTTCTCCTGATGCTCAATAGATGGAGCTAAAATTAAAATGGAAGAGAATTCTTTATCAGCTAAGAAAAATGAGGTTTTTCCAACATTTATTTTCAATATAAAACTGCACCTTGGGTACGTGGAGCTTGTTGTTCGCTGGGCGGAACCTCACCATTTTTCCGCAAATATTCTTCAAACACTGTAAAATTATAATATATAACTATTTTATAAAGCTCATTAGATGACTTGAAAGGATATTTTTATTTACAGCGAAATCTTTGGAGCATTTCTTCGTCCAATGTTATCGTTTTTCCCCCCACTGTTTGGGGTAGCTACTCCTTGCATTGCCTCCTCGATTTTTTCAGCATCTATAATAAAAAATAAGTCTTGTTGTTAGAAGAAAATATAAAAATATTGATGAACTTTTCTTTCTTCTATTCAAAAATATTACCCATTGGCGAAGACATATTTTTTTTTTGAACTTTAACTCAACTGTTCAGATTTCAACGTCTGGCTGGTCTGTAAGCTGTGAACAGTGATAGGATGTTATGTTCTAGGATGCTTTGTTGTTAGGATTTGAGACGAGATGACAACAACATAGCCAATGACGGCACTGCTATTTTTGGATGATTTGCATATCTCAATAGAACAATAACAGCTCCATATTCTCATTAATTGAAGTATATTCAAAAGCATTTCATCGGTTATAGTTAACTTTTGAAAATTACATTGCTGATAAACATACTTTTTTGAACAGGTAAGCAGTGGGCCTTTTTTGATTTTTTGGCACCGAATTAACCAAACCGTTATGATTTACTCACTTTATTTCAATTTGCATTTCCTGATGTAGCATTCACACACTACAGAATTTTTAACTGCATTGCGTTTATAAAATGTCGGTATGTACCAATTCTCTCTTTCTGCGTAATTTGCGTTTATTTGAATGAATTGTTAAGGACACTTTCTTATCTATTTATAGACACGATTTCAAAAAGCAAAAGTCGCAGGATGTTTTGCTCTAAAGGAGAACATTAAAGAAATTGCATCCATAATGGTATCGTTGAATTGTGCCAACATACATGAATGTAAGTGGAGGAAAATTGATGGTTTTTGGGCTAAAGTGTTGGAGGAGCTTGGACATCCAAACCTAGTAAATTCACGCAAATACTTTATATGATGTGGCAACGAAATTGGGGAGGGTTTCAGAATGCATACGAGAGCGAACAGCAAAGGCAAACAAACATCGCTAAAATGGAGGTAAATTATTGTGAATAAGACATTAATACATTGTTTGTGTAATTAACCCTTATTTTACAATGACGATGCAATCTCGATTGCGCATGCAAACAGTGAACTCAATATTTAAACAACTGGCATGATGTCTGAAAGAAAAAATTGAAGCCAAAAAATCTTCGTGTTTCTCGCGCGTTCATAAATAATTTGTATTTTTTCGGACTTTAATTTGACCTCAGTTGATTTCATTTTACTAGTCTGTTTTATCTTCATCAAGGAAACATTTTCAACTTAATTTATTTCATGCATGAGTGATTGTTTGAATGACATAGCTAACACTTCATTTGAATAAAAAAACGTTTTGCGATAATGAAACGAGAAAACGTCTAAAATCTTGACTTCCTAATAAAGCCGTGAATGAGGCTAACAAATATGTTTAACCGCATTATTTAATTGACAAAATTTATTGACAAAAGCCTTCTTACAGCTAATGCGCGGTCCTTTGCTAATATGTAGACACCCCCATTCAGTGAAACATTACAGAATCGAGACAAGAAAAAAGTCCTATGCAGCAATAAAGTGAGCAGATTTTTTCTTCTATTATTGTCAAAGCTAATTTACAAGCAAGGCATGAAAATAAAGAACGCAGGTCAATTGTAAAACTCCTGTCATAATCTTTATATATTTGTAGGTTGTTGGCTCTAGCATTCCGGGAAGTCGTATGCAATCACATGAGAAACGGGAAAAGGAGATGCAGACAAAAGCTCCTATATCAGGTGATAAGAACGTATTTATTGACATAAATGACTTTACACCATTGACATGTTTAGGGGAGAATGATAAGTCTGCAAGAATACAAGTTAAGAAAGACGAAAATATGCAAGTAGAAGTGAAGACGTTGGAAACTGTTCTCCAAGATAAAAAGTCAGCATGTGCAACACCCTCTAGTCATATTCGTGTTTCTACTAGGCAGCGTCGTGCCCCCAAAGTGTACACTCCGAACTGCAACGAACAAGCTGTTTATTGCTTTTGCCAACGAGAAGACATTGGCTGGTATTTAGTGTGTAATTTTGAGAAGGCAGGATGCATGAAGTACTATCATCCTAGATGCGTTGGTTTGGAGCACTTGAAAAATAAAGAAGATGGAGAATGTTTTAGTAACTGTGTAGATGGTGTTTCATTCATGTGTCCTGTATGCATAAAGAAAACGGAAGAGGAAACAAGTGGCTGGATGAAAGACAAGAGTGTAACACATGA